CTCGTGCTGGCCCTCCAGTCAGGATGGACTGACTCACACTCGGTCCTGAGGGCCTGTGAGCTCCCCGCAGCCCAGGCCGGGCCAGAGGGGAGGCTGGGCCCTGGCCACGGGGGGAGGAGAGGGTCCAGGATGAGTCACCCTTCTGCCTGCCCCTGAGTCATTCCCCAAGAGCGGCCGGAGCTCGGCGGGGGCCCTGCCAGGCAGCCACACCCTGCTGCCCCCACAGGGAGCCATCGCTCCATGACCCCCTGCCAGCCCTCCCTACATGCAGATGTGCACCTGTCAGCTGCGTCTGTTATCAGGATATTGAAACAACTCCCCACCCGGGGTTAAATGGCAGCTGCTTTGAGCCTCGGATGCTCGGAACCCAGCCCCTGATTAGCTCTCATCTCAGCAGGGGGCCTCACCCACCCACGGGGCAGCGCCCGCTCAGATCCAGCCACACTACCCCACCCAGCCACCTCGCAGGCCTAGGCCTCCGTGTGCACCCTGGACCGCTTTCCAGCACAATCTGTCCCCCATGGCTGGACACCACGTTTCCAGCCCGTCCCCGGGCCTCTCAGGCCAGGTTGGGAGTGCCGCCCAGCAAAGAGGTCATGCAGTCAGGGCAGAGAGGGGAGGGAGCCGGGTGGGGCCAGACTGGCTCTGCCAGGCCTGGGATCCCCGCAGGACAGGCTGCCCAACCCCAAAACTCCCTTCCTCCCCTCAACGCCTAAGCCTACTTCCTCCCAAGCCTACTTCCTCCCACCAGCTTGCCTCACCGGGCCCTGCCAGGGCACACGTCCGCCAGACCAACCGGTAGGGCTGCATTTCTGCGGCCCTGTGTCCCGGAAGTGACAGCCGCTGGGGATCCAAGGTCAGGAGGTGAGGATTCCATTCCTTTGGGGGGGGGGGAGGGGGGGCTGAGCAATGGATGGACCAGGTCCCAAAGGGCAAAACAGAATAAAATCCGGGTTTTAGCCGAAACCGGTTTGGCTCAGTGGATAGAGCCTCGGTCTGCGGACTAAAAGGTCCCAGGTTCGATTCCGGGGTGTGCAGGAGGCAGCTGGTCAATGATTCTCTCTCATTGATGTTTCTAGCTCTCTATCCCTCTCCCTTCCTCTTGTGAAAAATGAATAAAATATACTTAAAAAAAAAAAATCCAGGTTTTAACTTGAAGCGAACCTGGGTTTGAATCCTGGCTCTGCCATGCAGCCAGCTGTGTGACCTGAGGCAGGTGGCTTCACCTCTCTGACACTCCATTTCTCCTTCGGTCACATGAAGGAGAACCAAGGAGCTTAGCTGTCAAGCCCCAGCTCCTCTATTTCCTAGCCGTGTCATCCCGGGGAAATGTCTTTATACCTCTCTGAACCTCGATTTCTCCGTCTGTAAAATGGGGACACTGGGGCCTGCTTAAAAGGGTTCAGTGAAGTCAGACATGCAATCATTACATCACCCACTTTTGTTGAACATGTACTTACAGGCCCTGTGCTAAGTGCTTGTCTTGGGGTGTTGGTATTACATTTTCCAGCTGTATTGAGGTATGATGGACATACAACAAAGTGCACATATTTAAAGTGTACCAACTGATGAGTTTTTAAAAATATATATTTTTATTGATTTCTTACAGAGAGCAAGGGAGAGGGACAGAGAGCCAGAAACATAGATGAGAGAGAAACATCAATCAGCCGCCTCCTGCACACATCCCACTGGGGATGTGCCCGCAACCAAGGCACATGCTCTTGACTGGAATCGAACCTGGACCCCTCAGTCCCCAGGCCGACGCTCTATCCACTGAGCCAAACCGGTTTCTGCCCGACTGATGGGTTTTGACGTAAACACCCAACAGTGAAGCCATCAGCACAGTGGAGAGGATGAACTGGCCGTCTTCCTCTCCCATTTTTCAGACGTGGAAACTGACGCTCCAAGACATGGCCTGCTTGCTCAGGCTGGCCACGAGGACACTCGGAATTTAAACCCTGCAGTCTGAGCCAGCACCCTCGGCCCCACCCTCACCGCCATTCAGCAGGCTGCGTGGCACAGAGTCCATACTCAGTGTCATTGATAAACACATGAGTAAGGGGGTGAGTGTACAGGGGTGGTTACAGGGAAGGTCCCCGGCGGAGAACAAACCAAGGGTTAGTGGATCCTGACTGAGAACTAAGGTAGAAGAGAAAGGGTCCCTTGGTTAAACATGGATTGAGCACCTGCTCTGTGACAAGCCCTGTGCCAGGCACTCAGGATACCTGTCAAGCACAGCAGGCACAGGCTCCTGCCCTCGGAGAGCTGGCTGCAGAGGACCAGGGCTGGGGGAGGGGAGGAGGGACAGTATAAGTTTGAGGTCACTTGTGGGTGAAAGATGACACCTGTCACCAGGTCCCCAATGACAGAGCACCCCCAGGCAGACAAAGTCATGGAGCAGGGTCCCAGGGCCCCCGGTGAGGGAAGCCCCCAGGCTACAGGCTGAGGGCGGGTGGAGCCCTGGTTAGGAGGGAGGGACCCCAGTTCCCGCACCATCCTCCCCCCTGCACATCACCGACATTTCCTGGGGAGTTGGGGCAGGATCTCCACCTCTTGTCCTCACAGTGCCTTCTGTGCATTCACTTATCCATTTATGAAGCACCTACTGTATGCCTCGCCCTGGGGATACAGCAGCCCAGTCTGGGAAGGGAAAGGGAGAAAAATGCAAGCAGACAACCACATTAGATATGTTGTCATATCTAATCTGCTAAAAGGCAACAGAAATGAAATAACCTACGTGTCCATCAATGGAGGAGTGGCTGATACAGAATGAGCCTGTCATAGTCTGGGAGAGTAGGCAGGGGTCAGGTATGCGATGGGTGTACAGGCATCTCACGGAAGGAAGCCCGGGTATAGTAAGAGGAGAAGGAAGTGGCCGCCATTGAGTGCTGTATCTTTGCCTGTTGTGATTTAAAACAGAGCTGCCTCCATATCTCAATGACTCTGCCCTCCCGCCCGCCTGCCTCGGTCTGGGTCAGCCGGGCCCTTTGTCCACCCTATCTGCTGAGATGAAACATTCCTGCCCAGGACCCAGCGAGCCAAGCCTCCATGCGCTGCCTTCCCAGGCCACGCTCAGGTCACCGGCTCAGGCTTAATCCCTCGCCCAGCACCAGACCTCCAGGGCTGATGAGTCAACACAAGCCAGCTCTGAACAAACACCCCCTCCTCCTGGCGTGGGGTCCCTCTTCCACTCCCGCCTGGCCCCGTCCATCCTGTTCCCCAGGAAGCACCCGGTCCTCTGCTGGTCCGGGCGACTCCTGAGCAGCCCTGGCCCTGGGACTTCCTGCCCGGACCGGAATAGTCCACATGTACCTGGGAGGCGTTAGCTACCTGTGGCTACGGAGCAGTTGAAGAGTGGCTGGTGCAACCCAATTTTTAATGTTTCTGTTTATGTTATATTTGCTATTATCTATATAAATATATGACGCATTCACATTCATTTAATTAATTCAAATGGCCACATGTGACTGGTGGCTGTTTCCCTGGGAGGATCCAGAGAGGCAGCCTGGGTCCAGGTGTGAAGAAGGGAAGGGGCATCCTGGGACCCTGGCCTCTGCCCCAGGTAGAGTCAGCCTGGGGGGGCTGCAGGGACAGCTGGGGCCTCAGGGACGAACTGGGGGTGTCCCTTGGAGTCTGCTCTACTGATGGGGCTGAACATAGCTTTGGGTGCCTGTGGCCACCCTGCCACCTGCCTAGCCCTTGGTCTGTCTCCAGCTTGATCGTCGTGATGTGAGCTGACTTCTTACTGTGAGAGTGCTCATCTCCAGCGCCCTGTCTAACCTCCTTCACTCCCAGACCTCTGAGTGGTTACATCACAGCCCTGCCCCTCCTCTGCTGGTTCCCAAGCAGCTTCCAGAGGACCTGACCTAGGATGGCGGGTTATTGTCACATCTAATCTGCTAAAAGGCAGCAGTGACACATCCCCCTTCCAACCAGGGGGGCTCAGAGTCTGCAGCTGCCCTGGCCCCCGTTCTCCCTCACGAGCTTGGGTACAAAGGCTTTGCTTTTGAAGTAACCCCAGGGCACAGGATCAGGACATGAGGAAGAGCTTGGGGCGGGTGTGAGTGTGTGTGTGTGTGTGTGTGTGTGTGTGTGTGTGTGTGTGTATGTGTGTGTGTGTGATTATTGGGGGGAGGGAAATGAGAAGTTAGGAGGCTAATCAATCCAGGGTGCAGTGGCAAGCTGGACCCTGCAGTGGGCTGATGGTGGCCCCCAAAAGATAAGTGCAAGTCTTAACTCCCTGCGAGCTGGGAATGTGCCCTTATCTGGAAAAAGGGTCCTTAAGTTAAGGGTCTCAAGATGCGATGGTCCTGGGTTTAGGGTGGGCCCTGCCTCCAATAACAGGCGTCCTTATAAGAGAAAGACAGAGCGGAGGAGAGCGGAGGGACCCGGGAGCTGCAGCCGGCCTGACTTGAGAGATTTGAGACAAGATGTAGGACCCCTTCTTTTTTATGGCAGCGTAGCATTCCATCGTGGACATGTACGGCAGCAACCTGGATGGAATTGGAGAACATCATGCTGAGTGAAATAAGCCAGTCAATGAAAGAGAAACACCACATGACCTCACTCATTTATGGATAATAAGGAACATTATAAACTGATTAACAAAAAGATAGAGACAGAGACAGTAAAGCAACAAACAAACTGTCAAATTACAGTGGGGACGTTAGGGAGATATGGGGGAGATAAGAGATCAACTGAAGGACTTGTATGCATTCATATAAGCGTAACCAATGGACACAAAACTCTGGGGAGGGAGGGCATGTATGGGAGTGTGGGGGGGGGGGACTGGTAAGATCTGTACACATATAATACCTTAACAAAAAAATGAAGAAGAAAAAAAAAAAAAAAGACGCAGGACCCCAAGCAGACACTGAGAGGAATGACATCTCACGCAAAAAGGGCATCTTAACCTCGAAGGACAGTTTGAATGAACTGGGAAAGGAGGCAGAAGAGGAACAGCGAGCCTTCAGCGGTCAGTTGTGGAAACATAAGAAGATATGACTCAGGAAGAATTGGAGGATAATGAAGATGAACTGAACGAGGAAGAGGAACAAGCTATTGGCATGGATAGGCAGCAGAGACTGGCTGAGTGGAAAGCCACCCAACTGAGGAATAAATCTGGAGAAGTTTTGGAGACCTCAGGAAGGATTATGTTCAGGAAGTTACCAAGCTGGAGAGGGCTTGTGGGTGACCCTGTACCTTCACAAACAAGGGATTCCCCTCTCTTCCCTGAGAAACTGGCCTTCAGTGGGCTGGCCAGGAAGCTTCCTGAAGTCAAGTTTACCAAGGCCTTTCCACAGCCTGACACCCATTATCCTGATAGGAATCTGCCCACAATATTTGTTTACGTTGAAGGTGCTATCAAGGCTCAGTTTATGGCACTTCTAGTGTTTGGTGACATGAACCTGACAATAGATGAATTGTCTGAGTCTGTAGCAATCAAGACAGACCTGGAGGAAAACCTTAAGAAGCCAGTTGAAGATGCCTGCCTGTTGGGGCGCAGCTCCGTGCCCATGAGCCGGGGCAGCGATTCTGAGGCTGACTGAGCTGTGCCCAGGTAATGTGCTGAGCTTCCTTCCTTCCTTCCTTCCTTCCTTCCTTCCTTCCTTCCTTCCTTCCTTCCTTCCTTCCTTCCTTCCTTCCTTCCTTTCTCTTTCTCTCTCTCTCTCTCTCTCTCTCTCTCTCTCTCTCTCTCTCTCTCTCTCTCTCTCTCTCCCCCTCCCTCCCTTCCTTCCTTCCTTCCTTCCTTCCTTCCTTCCTTCCTTCCTTCCTTCCTTCCTTCCTTCCTTCCTTCCTTTCTTTTTTTTTTTAAAAAAAATATATTTTATTGATTTTTCTACAGAGAGAAAGAGAGAAGGATAGAGAGTTAGAAACATTAATGAGAATCATCGATCAGCTGCCTCTTGCACACCCCCTACTGGGGATATGCCCGCAACCAAGGTACATGCCCTTGACCAGAATCGAACCTGGGACCCTTCAGTCCACAGGCCGATGCTCTATCCACTGAGCCAAACCGGTTTCGGCAATGCTGAGCTTTCTTGATGTGACAGATCATCTGGACTTTTTTTAAAAAAGGAAAAAGTAGAAACGAATCCTTTTGGTTTTTATAATTACTAGAAGCCCAGTGCACGAAATTCGTGAACTTGTGGGGGGCCCCTCAGCCTGGCTTGTGTGCCCTCTCATAGTCCAGGAGCCCTGGGGGAGATGTCCTACTGACAGCTTAGTGGGCCTAAGCCATCAGTCGGACATCCTTAGCATTGCCATGGAGGCGGGAGAGGCTCCCACCACTGCTGCTGTGCTCTGACTGAGCAGCACTCCCCCTGTGGGAGCACACTGACCACCAGGGGGCAGCTCCTGCGTTGAGTGTCTGCCCCCTGGTGGTCAGTGCTCATCATAGTGACCGGTCATTCCACCATTCAGTCATTTACATATTAGCCTTTTATTATACAGGGTGTTTCAAATCTCATAATTCTAAGGAATAATCACTGCTGGGAATCTTCTTGAATTTCTTAGAACTCTTTTTAAATTAATAACATTTTCTTAAAAATAAAAACCAGTTGTTGGCATGACAAGAGAGAAAGAGAGAGAGAGGCAGAGGGAGATCTGAGACACACAGACATGTGAAAAGAGAACAGGCTGTGCAATCACTGACTGCCGACTGAGGCAGAGATTGGCGTGATGCAAATTCAGGGTGGAGGCAGAGGCCATTGCCAGGGAATGATTGTGGCATTCTGTGATTATACTGAAACCATGGACTTGTAGCCTGTAAACGAATGGTGTGAGAATTATCCTATCTAATAAAGAGGGAATATGCCAAAACCGGTTTGGCTCAGTGACTAGAGCATCGTCCTGCAGACTGAGGGGTCCCAGGTTCGATTCCGGTCAAGGGCATGTACCTTGGTTGCAGATGCATCCTCTGTGGGGGCTGTGCAGGAGGCAGCTGGTCGATGTTTCTCTCTCATCGATGTTTCTAGCTCTCTATCCGTCTCCCTTCCTCTCTGTAAAAAAATCAATAAAATATATATATTTTTTTAAAAAGAGGGAATATGGCCGAAACTGGTTTGGCTCAGTGGATAGAGCATCAGTCTGCGGACTGAAAGGTCCCAGGTTTGATTCCGGTCAAGGGCATGTACATTGGTTGTAGGCACATCCCTAATGTGGGGTGTGCAGGAGGCAGCTGGTCGATGTTTCTCTCTCATCGATGTTTCTAGCTCTCTATCTCTCTCCTCTCCCTTCCTCTCTGTAAAAAATCAATAAAATATATTTTAAAAAGAGGGAATATGGTAATTGACTCTCACACAGTTGTAAAAGATGGCAGTGCCCATAGCCAATAAGAAGGGAATATGCTAATTGACTGTCCCAACTGTCCCACACTCAAAGATGGTAGCACCCACAACCAATAAGGAGAGAATATGCTAATTGATGCCCCACCCTCAAAGATGGCGGCACCCACAGCCAATAAGAAGGGAATATGCTAATTGACTGCCATGCCTCAAAGATGGCAGTGCCCACAGTCACAAGATTATGGCATCCAGTCTCCTCAGCCCTGTCAGGGCACCTGCCTGATGATTCCTCCCGTCTCCCAGCCGCCCATAGCTGGCCCAAGTTGCAGGCAAGCCTTGGATGGCAGCTGCCCAGCTGCCCAGGGCTACCTGAGGCTCAGGCAATCAGGGCTGGCCAAGACTTGTGCTGCTGGCAGTGGCAGCAGCAGAGGTGTGATAGGGCGTTGGCTTCCCCTGATTGACGGATCGCCTCCCGCCCCTAAGGTCTCACAGACTGTGAGAGGAGGCAGGCCAGACTGAGAGACAGAGACCCCCCCTCCCGCTCCCTGCTCCAGTGCATGAATTTTCATGCACCGAGCCTCTAGTGTTTCAATAAAGCAGAGTTATCACTTTCCTACGCTGCACCATCTCAAATGCCAGCCCCTCAACTAAGTCCTATGGGAGATGGTCCCCCTCTTCCAAGCTGGCACTATTTACCCCTATTTTTTTTTTTATATTATCGTGGAAAAGTATACTAGCATGTAACATAAAACTCATCCTTTTAAGTGCACACTTTAGTGGCATTTAGTATTTCATGTTGTTGTGCAATCATCCCCATCATCCATCTCCACAGCTTTCTTATCTTGCAAGACTGAAACTCCACACCCATTAAATATTAACTCCCCGTTCCCCCTTCCTCCTGCTCCTGGCAACCACCATTCTACTTTCTGTCTCTGTGAATCTGACAACTCTAGGGACCTTATATAAAGGACAAAATTGCCATCTAATCATTGACCTTTTGTGTCGGGCTTCTTTCACTTAGCATGTCTTCAAGTTTCATCTGTGTGGTAGCATCTGTCAGAATTTCCTTCCTTTTAAAGTCTGAATAATTTCCATGTTACCCGAATCTTAAAGAAACACTAAGGCCACCTTTACTGCAGAGACACCGGGTGTGGCAGGTCTAGAATGCACACCCAGGTCACCTGATTCCAGCACCTACCACTCACCGTCCTGCAACCCAGCCTCTTCCTCAGCACCACAGGACTCCCCTGTACCACCTTACTCTGGTTCCTGCCCCCCTCCCTCCTCACTGAGACCCTGGGGCTTAGAGAGGCTTCTGCTCACCTTTGCACCCTGACCGCACATGGAGCTCCAGGTGGAGTCCGGAGCAGCAAAGCAGTGTCGGTGGAAGTGACCTGACTTGGAGGGGGGTTGGGGGTCAAAGTGGGTGGGGCCTGGCTGTGCAGCCCCGTTGATCAAGCTCCCCAGACTCTGAATGGGTTGTATGCTGTGAGAATTATGTTTCAATAAAGCAGAGTTATCTCTTTCCTACACTGCACCATCTCAAATGCCAGCCCCTCAGCAAAGACCCATGGGAAATGCCTCCCCCCTTCCAAGCTGGAGCTATTTTACCCCCATTTTTTACTCAAACTAAGCCACCTAATGACAAGGACCTCTGCATTGAGTTCTATAGGCTACAACCTGCACACCTGTACACAGCTGCCTGCCATTGACTCCTAAGAGCCTCCAGGTCCCAGATCCAAGAGGCCTCTCAGCTTTGTCCTGGGCGGGGGGTGGGGGGTGGGGGCAGGACGAAGGAGAATGAATGGGAGTGGAAACACGCTCACCTCTGGGAGGAGCTCTTAGGAACAGACCGCCCTCATTTGGGAGCACACCACCTTCTTCCCCAGGGTCCGTTTCACTCCGAGCATCCTGGGATCCCCTGCACCCAGCAGACCCTCGGGAATCTGTATGAACATGCACCCTGCTGAAGGGAGCTGGAAAGTTTGGGACAGACTACTGCCGCCCCATCCTTCCACGTGCAAACATCCGTTCTGTGGTTACTTTGTGCAATTTAAGGCCTTTCGTGCCATCATTATAGCTTTGTGTTAATGCTCACTACTTCCATGCACTGAGTCCAGGCTACAGCAAAACATCCCTGGACCCAACTCCGACAATTCACCCTGTGGAGACCCCGCAGCCATGAACTGTCCTTTGCTGCCATCTTGTGGCAGGCATGGGAACTTTGCGCTCCATTTCAATCCTTTTTAGCCCTCATCAAGAAAACATAACTGGCCACAGGTCACCAGTAAGATCCTGAGTGCCTGAGTCAGACAGGGAAAGATAAATACCATATGATTTCACTTATGTATGGAATCCAAAGAAAAAAATAAATGAACAGAACAGACACAGACTCATAGATACAGAGAACAAACTAAGGGTTGCCAGATGGGGGAGGGCCTCGGGGTTGGGTGAAAAGGTGAAAGGAATAAGAAGTACAAATTAGTGGTTACAAAATAGCCACGGGGATGTAAAGTGCAGCTTAGGGAACATAGTCAGTAATATCATAATAACTATGCATTGTCAGGTGGGTACTAGAATTATTGGGGGAATCACTTCTTCAATTACATAATTGTCTAACCACTATGCTGTACACCTGAAACTAATATAAAGTGATATTGAATGTCAACTGTAACTTTAAAAAGATCCTATGTGCCTGGGGGCAGATCACAAGACAGACATGGTCCCAACCTTTTGAAGCTCACAGCCTCCTGGAAGAGACAGTCAATAACCCACAAGTAAACAAAATGAATGAATAAATAAAATTATTATAGAATGTGAAACAAGCTAAGAACAAAGCAGGGGCTGAGTATCACAGGGTGAAAATATATGTTTAATAAACGGAGTGTTTGTCTCCCTACACACCCCTCCCTGCCCAGAGCTGTGGGCCACACAAGGGCATGTGCATCTGTCGGACTCCCCCTTGTGAATGGGTAAAGCCACCCAGTGTTGGCACATAGTAGGTGCTCAGTAAATGTCTAATAAATACACGATGGCAACACTGTGCTCAGCCAGCTTCTTGGCTCCTTTAGGCCAAACAGATGGGGGAAGAAAGAGGGACTTATAGAAGAGAAGCTGGGTCCCTGGGGGTCCTGGGATGGCTGTAAGGGTTTGGGTGAGAATAATGGACAACCGTCACCCTCCCATGGAGACTCCAGTCCACCTTGTTTTAAATTGTACCCCTATTCTACTTGCTTCTTGAACCCCTTCCCTGCTTATATTTTTCACTTTGGCGTTTTTCACCATCTCGCATACTACGTATTTGCCTTATTTATTTAACAATTGTCTCTTCCCACCTACCCTCAATCCCGGAATGTAAACTCTCAGATGGCAAGGATTTTGTCTGTTTTGTTCACTGATGACTCTCCAGTGCCTAGAAGTGCCTGACACTTAGTAGGTGCTTTGTAAATGTTTGTAGAGTGAATGAATGATGCATTGAGTGGGACTTGGGAGCAGGGCCATGAGGGCACTGAGGAGAGACCACTGGGAGGAGTGGGGCTCAGAGTCCAAGCAGCAGGTTGATCAAGTTACAGAAGAGGCCAAGTGTAAAGGTACTAGGAGGGGAGGCATTGGGCAGGGAAAGGGTCCGTGGAGGCAAAGCTAGATTGGGGGTGGAGCCTTGGGGCGGGCTCTTCCTGGGGTTGAATTCCCGAGGTTGCATACTTTAAGGGAGAAACCGGTTGGGGGCGGGGCCCAAGAGAGGTGTGGCCAATCTGGAGGAAGAGCCGTGCTGGGGGGCGTGGTCAAATAAAAAAAAGAAATGAAAGGAGGGGCTAAGTCGGGGGTGGGGCCAGGCAGCGGCTGGGCCAATCAGGGGCCTGGGTGGGTCTGGGAGGGGACGTGGGCGGAGCCATAAATGGGCGGGGCCAGTACAGAGGCGGGGCCGGGCCAGGATCTCTGCTGTCCCGGGTCCTGGAGCGCTCCCTCCCGCCGGGCAGGTCTCTCGCGACCCGACGAAGGCCCTTCCCTGGCCACCGAGGCCCCAGGGTGCGCAGGGCTGGACTCTCCAGGCTCGGCGACTGCGGTCCAGCCTCGCCCCAGGCACTGCGCTCGGAGCCAGGCGGCTGCAGGGTCCCTAGCGGGCTGAGTTCCTCGCCGCCCCGGGCTGTGTCCCCGCAGACTCTGACAGCCAGGGTGAGCCGGCCCTTGCGAGCATGCTTGTGTGCATGCTTGTGTTTGTCTCCTGCATGTGCGCACCAGTGTGTGTGTGTGTGCGCGAACAAGAGGAACTGTGTGTGGGGGTAGAGTTGGGTAGGTGCACGCTCCAGGGAACTGAGTGCGTGTGAAAGTTACGTGCATGTGCAAGGGTGGTCCCACGTGGGAGGTTAGAGTCCTGCATGTGTGTGTTTATGTGTGAGACAGAGACCGTGTGTGTGAGATTTGGTAAAGACTCTGTGTGTCAAGGTATCTTGGAGGAAACAGGAGGGAAGATACAGTGATTCTTGGAGGATGTCTGTGACGAGCTATGGGGTACGTGTGGTGAACTGTGGGGGTGTAAGAATGGCGAATGTATGTGTTTCTATGTGAGTGGCAGTGAGGGTGCTTCTGGGGGCCTCCATGTGAAGGAGTATTGACCAAAGAAAGTTTGGGGTACTGATTGCTGCTGGAGGGTGAGTGTTGGGGACTGGCCAAGAATACCTTGGGGATTACATTGCCTCCTTTGCTTTGAGGGCTGGGAGATTTGGGGATGGGGTTAGCGGGGGTGGCCGTACCCCTTGCGTGGGGGAGCAGTGGGTAGGTTCTTGCTTCGTGTGGAGGGAACTGCCATCTCAGCAGTCACCTGTCTCCCAGGCTCTGTGCTCCCTCCTACCTGAGTGGCTTCTGCTGGTGCTCCCCTGAGAACATGGTGCAGAAGTACCAGTCTCCTGTCCGTATCTACAAGTACCCCTTCGAACTGGTCATGGCGGTGAGTGACCCCTGATTCTCTGGGTCCTGTGCGATGGTTGGAGGGATATAGGTGGTTGGCCATGATGGGAAGGAAAGGAAACCCCTCAGTCCCTGATCAGAAGGAATTATTGAGCTACTTGGTTAAGTTGGTGGGTCTAGCTTCTAATCAGTGACTCTTCAGCCTGGCCACCCTACCTTTCACTACAGTTTCTGGAATCCTTGCCCACTGACAGAACATAAGGTCTTGCTTTCTCTTCCTTGTTGAAGCTTACATGTCCTCTTGTCTCAAGATTCTCTGACATAAAGCAAGGAAATCAGCTAAATCACTGCTGTCATTTTGTGTAATGATAATAGTAGTAATGATAATAAGCACACTAATGAGGGTGGTGGTGGCAGCCATTCACTGAGGGTGTACAGTATGTACAGTAAGTACAAAGAATATATATAAAGATCAGCTGGTGTGGCTTAGTGGTTGAGTGTCAACCCATGTACCAGTAGGTCACCAATTTGATTCTAGTCAGGGCTCCTGCACTGGTTGCAGACTCTATCCCCAGTAGGGAGTGCATAGCAGGTAGCCGGTAGATGGTTCTCTCTGTCATAGATGTCTTTCTCTCTGTAAAAATTAATAAAAAACATTAAAAAAGAATATGTGTGAAAACATACATTTAATTCCCAATAGCTCACACTATTCTTATTTTATCTCCACTAAATGAAGCTTGGACAGGTGACAGGATGGCCCCAAGTTCTGTGGGCAGGAAGAGGTATAGCTGGGAATCAGATCTGCCCAGGAAAGACTCTGGAGCCATATTTTAACCACAACACTCCCCAGGGTCCTCCTTCCCTTCACACACCCTGATCTTCCTGCCTGATCTTATTCTCTGATCCTACCTACATATGTATTCAGAGTCACATAAAGGATAAAAAAAAAACATCTTCCATACGTGTTGTGCTGTTGTGTAGATAGTTCCATATCAGGAAAGAAGCAGGGAGTATACTGACTGGCTGGTGACTTTGGGCAAGATACTTAGCCTCTCTGAGCCTCCACCCCCCATCACTAAAATGAGAATTGCATAGTTTCAAAGTCTGGGCATCTGGCTGAGGAGCAAATGAGTCAATATATGTAAAGCTTTTTATGCAGGATCTAGTGCAGATCAAATGCTATTATTGTTTTTGTTAGTTATTTCTGTTGCCCATGGCTGTGTGACTTTTCCTCACTTGTAAGGGGGGTGATGAAGAGATTTGGGGACATGCTGTCCGAAGCTCTGGTCCGTACCGCGGCTCCACAGTGCTCTGGCTGTGCCTTCGGGAAGTCACTACATTTCTCCGAGCCTTGGTTTCTTCATTTGTGAAAAGGGGATGGTTATATGCACCACATAAGACTGTCATGAGGATTACAGACGTAATGTGTGTGTAGGACCCAGTGCAGGGCCTGGTCCATATGAAGCAGACAATAAGTGATGGCTAAATAAAAACAATTGTCCTCTAAGGCTCCAGGCAGCTCACATATTCTAAGACTCTAGGACTCATTTGTTCATTCATTCATTTACTCAATAGAAAAGAGACACTGTCCCCACCCTTAAGGGACAATGCAGGAGCCCCTGATCCTTTGCCACCGAGCAGAGACAAATGACAATAGCATGGGAAACGAATACATTTTTATTGCGTGGGCTTCATAATTGTAAATTTAACCTAGCATGTTTAGGATTCTCAAAAACATTTACAATCATGGCATTTTAAAATAAAACATGTCTGTAGCACTGAAGACCGCATTAACAAGACATGTAATGTACCCATGCCACCTTTTCTGGACTATGTTAAGCCTATTTTGCAGGCTTTGTGATCCATAAATGAAGATGGGTTTTAGTTAACTCCCTAGCGATCAACAGTCTCTAGGTTCTATGCACAGGGATAAGTGGGTGCAGTAGGAAACAAAGGTTTTCAGATATTTGTTATCTATCGATATATCTGCTTGAATTTAAGTTATGCATATTTCTCTAATATGATGTCCCCTTATATTCCATATAGTTTTTGTCAGTGAAAAGGCTCCAAACCACTGTAAAATCCCTGACAAAGCCACTTTGCCAACTGTTTACAAAACATCATTGTCCCCAAAATAGCTGCATAACTCAACATAACTTGTCTGCTGTGTGGGCACAAAAGGGGTTTTCTGCACTTAATGTCCGTCTTTGTTTCTCAGCTAAACACTTGCCCTCAGTTTGGGTCAGATGCCAGGGAAGTTTTGGATGGACTCAGCTGTTTTTACCACATCCAGTGACCAGGCCAACTGGCCTTTTGGTTTCTTTGTTTAACAAAACTGACTTGAGAATCAAAGCCTCCCTCACTTCTTCCAAAGTCTCCAAGTGATGACACAAAAAAACTAAAACTGGGCATGTGGAACTGGTTATAACATAGCATTGAGGTGGCCCTGGCTGGTGTGGCTCAATGGATTGGAGCAACCCAGGTTGAGGGTTTGATTCCTGGTTGGGGAAGGTAACTGATTGAGGTTTCTCTCTCTCTCTCTCTTTCCTTTCCCCTCTCTCTAAAATCAACTGGCATGTCTTAGGTAAGGATTTAAAAAATAGCACTGAGGCACCCTGTCAAGACCTAACTTAAATTTTTTAAAAATATATATTTTTTAATTTTAAAAAATTAACTCAATTTTGTTTCTGATGGGTGGGATTCCAATGGGAATTTTGCTTCCTTCCTTTCCCCCCTCTCCTTCCCCTTCCCCTTCCCCTTCCTCTCCTCCTCCTCCTCCTGCTCCTCCTCCTCTTCCTCCTCTCTTCTTTCTTGATAGTCCTCTGAATTGTTTGGTTCAAAACAATGAGCTTGGCCCTGGCCAGTTTGGCTCAACAAATAGAGCGTCAGCCTGCAAACTGAAGGGTCCTGGTTCAATTCTGGCTAAGGGCATGAGCCACACTGGCAAGGCAGATTTATTATTATTATTATTATTATTATTATTATTATTTAATGTTTCAACAGCTTTATTAAGCTATAACTCACATATTGTACCATTCACTCATTTAAAGGGTACTGGTAAACATTAATGGTTTATAGTATTCATAGAGTTGTACAACCATCATCACTGTCAATTTTAAAAAAACATTTTTATTGATTTCAGAGGGGAAGGGACAGGGAGAGAGAGATAGAAACATCAACGATAAGAGGGAATCATTGATTGGCTGCCTCCTGCACACCCCCTATTGGGGTTCACGCCTGCAACCCAGGCTTGTGCCCTTGACAGGAATTGAACCTGGGACCCTTCAGTCCTCAGGCTGACGCTCTATCCACTGAGCCAAATCGGCTAGGGCACCACTGTCAATTTTAGAATATTTTCATCATTCCTTTCTCCACCAAAAGAAAACCATCCCTGTGCTCTTTTTTAAAAAAAAAAAAATGTTTTCATTTATTTTAGAGAAAGGAAGGGAGAGGGAGAGAGAGAAACATCGAAGAGAGATTGGCTGCCTCTTGCATGCCCCACACTGGGGATTAAGCCCGCAACTGGGTCTAGTGCCCAGACTGGGAATTGAACTGGTGACCTCTTGGTGCAAGGGACAATGCTCAATCCACTGAGCCACACCAGTTGGGCAGAAACCTGTACTCTTTAGTCATTATCCCATAATCTCCCCCATTCTATCCAGCCCTAGATAACTACTAATCCACTTTCTGTCTCTATACATTTGCCTTTTTGGACATTTCATATAAATGGAATCATAAAATATGTGGTCTTTTGTAACTGGCACACTGTTCAAGTTTCATCCGCATTGCAGTATGATTGAGAACTTCATATCTTTTTATGGCTGAAGAGTATTCCATTGTATGGATGGACACATTTGCTTATCCATTCAGCAGTTGTCGGACTTTAGATTGTTTCCAATTTGGGGCTACCATGTACATTGCTATGAAGAATTATGTACAAGCTTTTGGGTGAACATATTTCTCCCAAATAAATACTAGTGTGAATGGCGGTGTTTATTTGGTGGGTTTGGGAAGATTCGATTTTAAATTTTATTTAACAGACACGTATACATTCCGAGCCCATTCAAATACTAATTCATATACTTCTCATAACCACCCCATTCGATAGGTTTGGTGGGTAGCCCATGCTACAGATGAGGAAACGGAGGCACAGAAAGGATGAATGAATTACCCAAAGCCACAGTGGGAACACGAGGGGATTTAAATACTTGCCCTCAGGTTGGGCCAGATGCCAGGAAAGTTTTGGATGAACTCAGCTGTTTTTTTTTTTTTTTTTTTTTTTTTACCACATCCGGGAGGCCAGATGAATTTATATTCCCAGCCATGAGCTCTGCCTTTCCTCAAGGCTGGGGATCTGAAGTTACGTTTCGATATCACATCAATGTCTCTCTCTTACTCTCTGGACCGCCTCTGTGATGGAGCAGTTACCATCAAGGCTGGGTCCAGAATGCCTGCACCCCATCAGCATCCTGCAAAGGGGAGCACAGCCAACCCCCCGTAGACCCTGGCCTCTCGGTGGGCAGCTGATGCCTACACAGCCTGCGAGTGGTGTCTGAGCCCTCTGTGCCCCCAGCCCTTTAAGCGGCTGAGAGGCAGGTATTATATGGCAGCAGCAGAAGAGGAGGTGAGGCTTAGAGAGGTTAAGGAGACTGTCCCTTAGTCAGTGTCCTCCTTCGCTAGAGCTGTGTAGCTTAGTGCTATGACTGGACAGAGCAGGACAACAGGAAGTTAGTGTCTCACAGTCCTGGAGGCCTAAGCTCAAGGTGCCAGCTTCTGAAGGTGCCAGGAAGCCCTCTCTTCCAGCTTCTGGTAGTTTCTTGGCTGCGGTGGCATAACTCCCATCTTCACGTGGCATATTCCCTGTGTGTCTGCACCTCTGTGTCCAAAGTCAGATTGGATCTATAAGGAATGACCTCATATTTATTTTATTTTTATTTTTATTTTTAAAATATTTTATTGATTTTTTGCAGAGAGGAAGGGAGAGAGATAGCTAGAAACGTTGATGAGAGAGAAACATCGACCAGCTGCCTCCTGCACACC